TTTCATCTGGATCGACTAAATGCGCGCTCATACGTTAGTTCTTCTAATGTCATGACAGTCTTAAGCAAATCTTCCCTTCTGATTGGAGGTCGTCTAGCGCTGTGTTTAGCATACGCCTCACAAGGCAGCTATCGTCTATTCGTTGGCCATGGCACCGCCATTTTAAACGACTTATTTGTAGCCAGTGGTCACTGTAGTTGGATACCCTAATCTCTCTTACAAAAGCATCTGACATGAGGTCGTGCCAATTCACTCCTGATATTGATCGTGAAAACTTCATTTTTGTCACTCGCAGTTTCCTGTTTTGAGCTTTGTTAAGTGTTAACTCCAACCTATAGAACAAGATGATCAGAGTGCTGGTCCTGAATATCCGCGTCGTCGAGCTCTTGTCAACATTTTTGTCCCTCCAGAGCTTGGAACAGTACATCGCTTGCTCGCTGCTAATGCCAACTGACTTCATTTGTCACTGGATCGTTTGCAAACAATGTTCTTCCAAGTACAGATGCTCTTAAACATCGCTTTCACTACTTCACTGTAAAGGATCATGCGGTCGTTGGTCCGGGTTCTACCAGTTTCTATTGACTTTGTCTTCCTTAAGTTAATCGAGAGATTCAGATTAATTATGTGCAGTTTCAATGACATCATTTATTCCTAATTTGGTTGTTTGTTCATTTATTTCCCACTACTCACAAGAGAACGACAGATGTCTCTTCTGAAGAGAGGAATTAATTAGCTGGATAAAATTACGTTGACGTTTCTCTCAGATTGGTGCAAATTCTATCAATCATAATCGCTAGTAAGAATGATGAGTGATCATTTACTTCATGAACACCCGTGGCACTAATCCCGTTCATGCAATATTTTCTCACATATGATGAATCGTCCTTGCAGCATGAGATTTACTGTACGTTAGGCATCATTTATTTTCACTGTTTATTCTTTTTGGGTTTAAACTGCTTTATGTATTAAGGGCTGCAGGGGACAAATAAACCGTCACTTTAAATGCTTTAAGTTTACAAGCAGATATAGAAAATATTGAAATAGATGCTTGATGACAGCTTCGTAGACTTTAGATCACACGTCAAATAGTCTTATTCGTGAATTATGCAATGTTGTGTCTTCGGCAGTATACATCAAAGGAAGTTGGTTCCATTCCAAGGTACTTCATGTGCTAATTCCATAGCTGAAATATTTGGTAGTCCTTTCCAAAAATGGTGCAGTTGCGCGCCATCGGCAGTATACATCAACGCTGTACCTGCTTTTACACGAACAAATTCTTCTGGTTGCTTAAAGCCTTAAGTAAGCAGTTCGCCCTTTTGCTATCGCCTGCAAGTCGTTAGGAAAGAGGTCGGTAATTGTCGATGATCTGCGCACATTTGCTACTGTACGCGAATTGGTTTGGCCATGTGACTACGTATGAGAATTAAATTCATGCTTTTCTATTTCCGTGTTTTTGCTGCACCAGTGCAATACCACATTCTCACATGATATTGCTAGAATTTTGAACATTTAAAATTTATGACAGAAGCAACCTCCTTCAGTGGAAAAGAGGAAAATTAATTTCCATAATTCTCTTCTTCTGTCCAATTTCCTGGTTTCCAGTTTTATATACAACCTACTAGACAGATGTATGGTAGGTTACACATTAAAACGCATTTTTTGCATTCATTCTTCGTAGATTAATTAAGGCAGTTCCCTCTGGAATGTTGTTCTCCTGTATATGTTTCACATCTAACTTAAGAGTATACGGAACAGTGTTCACCAGTAATGAATCATGTGCTTTCTATCTTTCTTTCTTCCTTAGCCGACTGCTCAAAAGTCATGTTAGTCCTTTATAGTTGGCGGTTTATAAGATTGCGCATTTGTCCTGAGTTCTGACAGGATAGTCTGATATCCCTAGTTTGATAATTGTCCACTCCTCGTTAAATACGCTTCATGGAGAATGAACCTCAGATAATAGTCAGGTTATCAGCAGAGTGGGAATTGGTTTGTACGATGTGCTGCGTCAACAAGTTTCGAAAGTCACTTGTCACAGACCCTCTGTCAAGAAGTCATTATCCCTTGATCATAGAGTTGACTGCAGGATTATGAAAATATTTTGTTGACTTTCCTTGAAAATTAATATGAATGGCAAACGAAGGTTTAAGTTTCCTTCTTCCCGACGGATTTACCTCTTCAAGAGACAGAAACATATCTCTTATCGTTTGCAATTGCCTGTTTAGCGAACCAAAAATGTCGATATTAAATAACGAGGGTCATTTGAGCGAGTACAGTTCTCTTCATCTAACTCCCTTACGTTGAGCTATGTCGACTGATCGCAGAGATGATTAAATGGTTGGAATTTTTGGCAGCACTGCCGCACAAAAGCATATTACTGTTAGAGTGGGTGGCAAACACGTCAAACGTACTGTTTTTTGTCGCATACACTCGGTGACCTCTTTTCCGCAATGGATTATATCTTGTTTATCAAACAGTTACTTTTTGGTCTCGTCATCAATCGTAGTCGATGTTCTCCACGTTAATGTTGATGCGGCGTCTGTAAAAGATTTATGAATGCCTCGGCGCGCTGCTCAAAGGAAGATGGAAGATTCAGGTGAAACTCAGGCTAACACCTTTATCTAAAGTCGTGCATAGTCGTTCCTATGGTCACAAAAGTGAATGACGGGTGGGGGGGGCTTATTTTCAGGCGCTACGGAATCCTGGGATGTCGACCATAAAAAGTGCGAAACCGATTATTTCCTCGGAGTAACCGGAGGCTAACAAGTTTCCTTTCGCCTTTAAGCCGGATTTCCGTCCGTTGACATTGTAAACCTCTTGCAAAAAGACAGATGAATCGTTGTCCGTAGTTTGTCTCTATGAGGGAATAGTGTTTTTACGACGAGGATGAAAGATTGCATACATTTCATTCGATTACTTTCAGTATAATCCTTCTTGACTTCGCAGCTAATCGTAGCATCCTCTCAGAATTCAGTAGGAGCATTACTAGGCTGGTGACAGCCCTACCAGAATCTGTCAGCGCTGCACTGTGAAGGTCACTGCCATACTTGATCGCAGTTGCTGAAATATCGCCACCATTCCTGTTCAGAGATTTTCACATCGGATCAAATTTGTTATTGTAATGCTTTAATATAAAAAGACACTTCATGACGAAATGAATGTTGATTAATGTGCAGGTACGTTTGTCCAGCATGAAAATTAATTTCTTAAACTTAACGAAGAATAACTTTTAAATGGCTTTCTCAACCTTAAGGCATGTACATTCTATTTCTAGATTATGACCAATAAAGATTCGGGTCTGAACATCAGGTCTGTGTTAATCAAGGACCGTCGATACTGTTTTTCCTGCTACAAGCCATGGAATCAGAATGCCATGCAGGGCTTTCGCAACTGTAAAAACGCTTCAAGTTTGGATATCGATTAGTTGAATCTGGTACTAAAGAAGGATGCAATTTTTCGCATGTATTGTCAGAGAGCATTCTTCAGCGTCAAAATTACAATCTCATTAACAGATTGTGGAAATCATGAAGAAGTCCAATATTCACTGCAAACTTCTTTTTCAGCTCTTCAAAAGTGTAGTTTCCGTAACCTTCTGACAATGAGTTACAGTATTTTGAATATAGCTTCAGACAGTTTACGTAGGTACTGTAGTTTCGCTTTGCCCACCGACTGTGGAGCATAGCTTTCTAAAGTGGCATACTCC